CCCTGGGACTCAGCTGATTCCATTATGAAGTCTTTATGTTTTCCCTTTATGATACTTCTGTATCAAGTTCACTCTGAGTCAGTTTTTTTTTTTTTAAGATTTTATTTATTTTAGAGAGAGAGCGTATGCAATCGGGGGTGGGGTGGGGTCATGCAAAGGGAGAGAGAGAATCTCAAGCTGACTCTGAGCTGAGCACAGAGCCTGATGCTGGACTTGATACTAGGATCCTGAGATCATGACCTGAGCTGAAATCAAGAGTCAGACGCTCAACTGAGCCACCCAGGTGCCCCACCCTGAGGCAGTTTTAAATCTTGGCTCAAGGCATCTCTTGTGAGAAGCCATTTCGGACACCCCAGATTAGGTTGAGTTTCATTTCAATGCCCTCATGCACCACCTCCCTACCCTTAGTAATACCTATTCGGATTATAAAGTTGCTTTTGTGTGATAATTTGTCTCCCTTATCAGACTAAGTTTCATAAGAAAACACAGCTTTCTTTTTACTTCCTACTGGATCCCTATCATCTATGAAGTATCTGGCACATAGTAAGAGTTTAATACTCCTTTAAAAAAAATCAATCCTGTTGTGTCCCTGTTACTAGTGTCTAACTGGGTACCTGGTACACAATAGATGAATACCTTTGCTAAACGAGCCATAGTATGAAAGATGTTTGACTACTCGTTTACAATAAATATAATGCAGAAGAGCCATCATTTGATTATCTGTGATTAGGCATTTATACATAATTGATACCTACACCAAATCCCAAATTCTCTCATCAACTTTTCCTCACCACTAAGACTGAAGAAAGTAAGTTACAGTTCTTTTCTTTCCTTTGTTTACTCTCTAGTGGAGTAAAGGGTGAGCTGTCTGGCTAGGAAAATCCACATAGAGCCAGAATTAGCCTTAAGTGAGATTTGGCTTCTGAGCCAATAGACCGTGGCATTCTCACTTGGATAGTCAGATATTTAGAAACTTTTTAATTTTTATTTTATTTATTTTTTAAAGATTTTATTTGAGAGAAAGAAAGAGACAGAACACAAGCAGGTGGGGGGTGCAGAGGGAGAGTGAGAAGCAGACTCCCCACTGAGCAGGGAGCCCAACACAGGACTCAATCCCGGGATTTCAGGATCATGACCTGAGCCAAAGGCAGACACTTAACTGAGTCAGCCAGGTGCCCTGAAACTTTTTTATTTTTAAAGATTGTACTTATTTATTTATTTATTTATTTAGAGAGAATGAGCAGGGTAAGAGGCAGAGGGAGAAGCAGACTCTCCACTGAGTGGAGAGCCTGACACAGAGCTTGGGTCTCCATCCCATGACCCCAGGACCATGACCTGAGCCGGAGGCAGATGCTTAACTGACTGAGCCACCCAAGTGCCCCTAGAAACATTTTTTCCCCAAATGAAAAGCTTTGCATTATTTTTCTTATTTTTTTGAAGATTTTATTTATTTTTTTATTTAGAGAGAGCTGGGGGGGGGGCAGAGGGAGAGAGAGAATTCTAAGCAGACTCTGTGCTGAGCTTGACGTGAGGCTCAATCCCATGACCCTGCAATCATGACCAGAGCTGAAATTGAGTCAGACACCCAACTGAGCCACCCAGGTGCCTCTATTTTTATTTTAATTTTAACAGCAATCTCTTTGAAAACATTTCAGTGGTCAGAGAATATATTAAAACACACACATACACAGGTTGTATACATTCACAGGTTTATTAGGGCAGAATGACATGGAACAGTATAAGCAGAAAAAAAGCAGAAATCTTACAAATGACTTCTTTTTACGTGTGCTGAAACAGAAGTTTTTAGTAAACTTGTAATTCCATGAGCACTGTGGCAAGCTTATTGACTTTGTCATTTATTAATTTAGGAAAGGGAGAAGAGCCAAATCAAGTACAATAAAGATGAATTTACAAAATGGTATAAAATGGTAATTTTTGGATATAATAAAACATAAAAAGAAACTAAAAACCTAAAGAAGATAGCAAGATGTTAATTTTCTAGTTTTAATAATGTATTATGGGTATACAAGATGCTACCAGTGGGGGAACCTGGGTAAAGGGTACATAGAACCTTTCTGTATTGTTTTTGCAACTTCTTGTGAGTCTATATTTCCAAATAAGTGAAATAAATAAATGAAAAAAGACAGGAGGAAAAATAGTAAAGGGAGATAAGGTATTTTTAGAAAGAGAATTTAAATATACATAGTTGAAGACTTGCTTTGCCAAATTTCCATAGGTTTGTGAGGAGTTAACCAAAATTTTAAAAAATGTGTCCAAGACAGACAGGCACACACTTTACTAATAAAAATATTAGGCTCTGAAAACTGGCATCCTATTTTTAATGTTTGAACTAATGATATTTTCCAGAGACATGTAGAGAGTGAAACATAGTACCATTTGCAAAAAACAACTTAATTTTGCAAAAACCACAAAAATGAGTGTTTGCTCTTGAGAAAGGAAAACTTGTATTTCTTGACATCATCAAAGAAAAACGTGGAAGATCTGATATGAAAGGAACAAAAATGTACAAATCCTACCACTTCATTCCTCAAAACTGTATAAACATTTGCAAGATTTTCCTTCATCTATTACATGTCCCTAAAGCAGCCAGCCTACACAGACCTGGGGGCATTCACATGTCACGATATTCCATAAAAATCTGGGAACACATATTTTTGGCAGAAAGAAATCACTTGATGTGCAAGGAAAGACTGCTTGTGAAAGAATTCAGAGGGACACATTTAGGGTGGACCCCCTTGCAATGATAAAACGTTAGTGTCATAATTTACCACATTCCTGGGAGCATTCAAAGGACACACGGAATTATGAACTTTTATGAGTAGCTTTTTCAGTGCCAAATAGATGGCAAATATCCTACAGAGGGAGAATTGAAAACCCAGAGAAGCTCCCAAATTGCCTCATCTCACTGTACCTTAAAGCTTATTAAAGCAACATAGAAATCTGCTTGGCTGGACACTTATATTTCCTTCTTAAACATTAGAGCTTAGCAACTCTGTACAAAGTAAAAGGGGAATTAGGGCTAGAAGACCTGAGTTCAAATTCTGACTCTTCCAGCTACTAGTTTTGTTACCTTAGGCTAGTCACAGTCTCTGAATCTCAATGTCTTTGCTCCTAAAATGGGTATAATAATCACCATATCTCAAGGTTGGTCCTAGTACTGAAAGGGATAATATATTTAATTGCCTAGCACAATGCTGTGCAAACAGTAGGTAGCAGTTAAGTGTGAGGTCCTTCCCAGTTTTCCCAGAAGACACAACAAAATATTTCTTTCCCTGTTAGTGTGGTATGTGTCAAAACAAATGGCTAAGGGGTAAATAAAAAGGGCAAGAGAATCTAATCCTACTATTATCCAAACAATTGTTCTATTAGTTATGCAGTTATATAAATGAATATTTAATAAACATTATTGGATTTATTGGTATTATTCAGGTAATGCATTAGTACCTGAATAGGTCCTCTCTTGCAAGTCGGCTTTTTATTTTGACTTTGATTTAGCAAAATAGGCCATAATTCTTTTATTCAGATCATAACAGAGTATATAACCTTTTGGGAAGATTAAAGCACCTTTTTTAAAAGATTTTATTTATTTATTTGAGAGACAGCGAGAATGACAGAGAGAGCACAAACGGGATGGAGGGGGAGAGGGAGAGGGAGAGGGAGGAGGAGACTCCCTGTTGAGCAGGGAGCCTGACCGGGGGGTTGATGCCCAGGAGCCTGGGATCATGACCTGACCCGAAGGCAAACACTTAACCAACTGGGCCACCCAGGTGCCCCAAACTCCTCTTGATCCCAGGTAAAAATAATAATTTTAATGTTTACTCATGGGTCTGAGAAAAAGTGACATGGAAAAAGAAATGGTAAAAGGTTAAAGAATTTATCTTTCAAGGCTGATGGTCTAATTTTCCCCCGGAAGCGCCTGTTGACGTTGGTCTCTCTGTCTGGAGACCAATGTTCCCTAACTCATGCCTTGAACCTCTGCTAAAAGAGCCATATTCCCGGGCTCCATCAACTCGAAAGGGTGAGCAAGCCTTGTGAAATTGCAAGGTTGGACAGCACACAGACAGCCCTTAGAAGGCTTTAGAGACAGGTTCTTCACATGGAATCCGTGGGCTTACTCAAGCAGGTTCTGGAACCTGTAGTCCCTGTCTATAAAATTGTGGCTAAGTGTATTTCATGCCTTTTCTCCAGGAAGCTGCTCAACTATCACTTCCCTCTAGAGGTTGGTTCTCTAGCCATCCTATCTTGAAAAAGGGGTCTCGCCCACACAATCTCTCACATCATTCTTATGTATTTCCTGTACAGCCTTACCCCAATCTGTCATTACCTTGTCTGTCTGCTTAAATCCCTCTACCCCACTAGAAGGTAAGCTTCCCAAAGAGCTGGGCCCTGGCCTTTCTCCAGCGCCTTGAACCTGCTGAGTCTCGAGAGACACTTCTGGAATGAATGACACCTCCGTGTCTAGCAGATATTTAACGGCCTCTACAGCCTTCCATCCACCCCACCCCCCAACCCCGCCGCATTTTTCTCCGGAAATCATTTTAAAATCACGCGTTTTCATTTTGGAAATAAGGCTTTTCGCGTTGCCATTACACTCACTCGCTCTCGCACACTCGTTCTCTACAGTCGGAACCGCCGCCCCGGCCCACTTACCCAAGCCCACCAGGCCGGACAGTTTAGGGGCTACCAGGGCAGGTGCAGCCGCGAGCGGGCGCCCGCCTCATTTCACCTTCCGGGCTCCCGGTCCTCCGCCCACCGGGGTCGCACCCCGCCACCCTCCCTCCAGCGCGGCGCCGGCAGCTCGCAGTGGCGGCGCACTGCGGCGGAAGCACCGCTCCCGGAGCGGCGCGCAGCTGGCCGCGGGAGAGCCAGTCGTCCTCCGCCAGGCCGGGATCCTGCCCGTCCCGCAGCGCGCGCCGCCGCGGCCGCAACTGCTTCCGGGTGAGCGGGTCACCGACCCTGTGGCCCCGCCCCTCCTTCGCCTCCTTCGCCAGCCGCTCGGGCTGCGGCTCCTCCCGGGGGCCGGTTCCCGCTGTCTCTGCCTCAGCCGCCGCGCCGCGGGGCAACCGGCGTGACTGACTGACCGGCCTCGGGTGCCGGGAGCCGCCGCGTCCAGCCCGGCCTCCCTGGCCGGGAGCCTGGGACCCAGTTCGCCGTCCGCGCCCCTCGCCCTCCGCTCCTCGCTTTTCGCCCGGCCGGCTCCCGGCGGCCGACCCGCGCCCCGGCCCTTCCCGGGCGGCGCCACAGCCACAGCCCGCGCCCAGGGACAGGTAAGGGCCGTCCCTCCCGCCGTCCCGGGGCCCCCTTCCCGGCCTCTACAGCCCGTGCGACCGGCGCCGCCGCTGACCCCTGCTGGGGGACGGGCTTCCCTGCGGGCTCTCGGGTCGGGGTCGCCCCCCGCCTACCGCGTTCGCCGGCAGCACGCCTGATTTCTAACGCGTACCCTCCCTCTGTGCGAGGGGAAGGGGTTACTCCCATTGTGGGAGAAATTACATTGGGCCGCTGTCCCTGTGCCTCGGTGCTCGAGGCTCCTCTCCCCCGGCGCGGCACTCCCTCGCTTCTGTCCCTGGACCGGCACCCCAGCGAACGGTGTCAGGCCGGTGGAGGGCGTAGCATTTTTATGGGATTTTTTTTCTTCCTTGACCCGAACTGAAGCGCGGGCATAACAGGCGCTTGCTAGGAGTGTCGAGGTTAATGCTTGACTAATATGGGGTGTTATTTACACCCAGATTAAGTTATACAGCTCCATTCAGGCCTGCTTCTCTTGCCTGTGGATATCCAGCCGGAAGCAGGCGGACATAAGGGAACGCACCTCTTTTCCTTTCTTAGAGGGAAAAAGTTCAGGTGTTTGCTCTACTTTTCCACCGTGGGAGATACAAATATTAGGCTGCTGAGACACGACTAGGGAAATATTGTATCCTAAACTTTAACTGTTTGTAGCTCATTTTCTTTGAGTTTCCATTTAATGACTCAGCACTTCTGCGGTAAACAGAAAAACTGTAGAGTAGGTTAATTGACTAGGAGATAATGTGTGAGAATAACTAAGTAGCCACTAATTTTTTATGTTATCACAATGGGAAGAGAACGTGGATGCAATGAATGGAACCAGAGAGATGGTGAACAGGTACGGGTGGGCGAGTTCATAATATAAAATAACATTTTTTTTCAAGATAACATTTTATATGGGGATGAATCTATATATAAAGGTGCAATTGTTGGAGAATGCAGTGTTGCAGATAAGAGTTAGTTGGCAGAGACTTGAAGTTTGCTGTGGTTTGGAAGTCTTGCAGTATTAACCCTTTTTAACCAACATCATGCTCTCTTTAACAAATATAGAGATGATGACCTAGTATTCATGTTAGAGTAAGAATTTTAGAAAGTGTGATTCATTTAGAAAGCTAGGTCACTCTGTGAATCATTGATATGGATCTTAAAATTGGAATAGAGGAAAGCTAGAAGTTTGTTATTGCCTGTTTAGATGCCTTCAGTCATTTTATATGAAGTGTTGTATTATGCTTTGTTAGGTTTGTTGCTGCATACTTATTGTCATGAAGTGTGGTAAGGACATAAAAATTGAACTTTTGCAGAGTGTTTGGCTTTAGAATAGTTAGTTCCTAAGTGAATTGTTGTAATTTTACCCTCCCCCACTCCCCCTATTTTTTTTTTTTTTGCCAGATGTGGGAAGATAAGTGAAGGGGTCTAGAAACAAAATAAATGTCAGTGAAAAGGTATAAAAGTTTACTGAAAGAATCTACAGTATACAAAATAGTCTTTTCAGTGAAAGGCCTCACCTATTTTGTGAATCCTTAAAAATGTGGAATGAGACTACACTGAGTTCTTACATAAGTTCTGTTATAGAAGAAAGTGGGTATTGAAGTTGTGATTTATTATTGGAATGAATTCATTGTAAACTAGAAATAACTTTTTATTGCTGAAATGTAATTTGATCACTTTTGGCTTTAAAAATATTGTTAAGCAAAATAACCTCGAATCACAGAGAACTTGATACTCTTAGCCTTGTTTTCTTTTACTTCTTTTTGGAATTCAGCTTATTTTACCTTGATTTTCATTTGTAGGGAACTTTAGTTAGTTATCAGCTATAAAGTAATGGTAAGTTGGTCTTGCTTACCAGGTTCCTTTAATTATTTGACTAAATTTTGTCATCTTATTTTCTTGGATATTCATTCTTATATATAGAGTGTTCCCTAATGTTGCTTTTGATTTTTGTCCAGCTAATAGTGACTTAATTAAGAGTTTCAATTCCCAGTAAAGAGAGATTCCCTTTTGGAAAATCCCTTGTGGAAAGCACCATAACTAACAGTCTTGATAGGTAGATATGCAAAAGAAGCCTTCTTATGTCATGATTTAAGCATCTCCGTAATGAAGGAAAAAAAGTGATAGGAGGGTATATTTGGCAAGTAGATTCTTTTTCTCTAAAAACAAAACCAAAAACATATTTGTACTAGAAATGAGAGCTGTGTCTTGCTAAGCTTTTTGTGAATTGTTTTACGGTGCTCCTAGTGTGAAAAGGAACAGAATTGATGATGTATAGAAAAAAAAAATTCTGGCAGCATGCTGGGAATGTTGATGAGGATCATTTAAGAGGAGATAAATTCTGTCTTTACCATAGGAGCACTATCCATTGAACCTACAAAATAGAGGCCATTTCATAGCCTTTTCCTTTTAGGTAGTTTCTTTCTGGAGACTTTGAATGGTGAGATGGACCTTTTAACCAGGAAAATGTACTACCTTATCCGGTTTGCCATAGACTTAATAGACTTTATGACCGTTACTCAAAACTCAACTTTTAAAACTTCAGAGGGAAGGGATTGAGCAGAATTTGCCCTGTGAGTAGAATAATTTTACCTTTTTCTCCATTTCTCCTTTTAAGATACTAGATAGACACCTTTGGAAATAATTTTTTTGTGTTGCACATTGCACTTTACTTTTAAAACTTTTTGCCCTACAAGAAATTAGGCCAGACTTAAAAGGAATCAAACATGGGGCTAAAAACAGGGTTTAGTATAAGTTATACTTTTTCGTTTGTTCTATTATTTCTTTATTCTGGTGGGGGGATGGAAAAAGGATTCTGTTTCTTGGGGGAACTCTGAGATTTGCTAAATGTGTATGCTTTTGTTTTGGTTTAGTGGTAGGGAGAGCAGTAGATAAGAGTAAAAATGGTTGAGAAGACAGAGGACATGGCATACATACATGGAAAGAGAATGCCCACTTCATGGGTACAGTCGATGTTTGTAGGATTTTTAAAAATTGATAAAGCATTTGAAAAGAAAATGTTATATGGTGCAAAGGCACAACAAACTTCTAGCCTTTTCTCACTCCCCCACCCCCAATCCAAGCAACTACTGTGAATAGTTTCCTGTATATTCTTCTCCAAATTTTCTGTTACATATGTAATCACCTATGTTTAGGAGAACTTTCTTCTACCTTTCATTCTTACCCTTGATATATATCTTAGAGACTTTTCTGTATTAGTACATGTGTCCATCTGATTTTTAAAAAAGACTGGATGTCTTGCCTAGTGTAGATGAATCACAGTTTATTCATTTTCCATGATTTGTTTTACCATTCCCTATTAACAGACATTTAGGTTGTTTTTAGCTTTCTACAAATGTTGCTATAGTGAACAACTAGTATATAAATCTTTGCACTAGTCCATAAGTATGTATATGGAAAATATTTCTGAAAGAGTGATTGCAAAGTTGGACCTTAAATTGTGAAGATTTATAAATTTGTTTCAATTTTATATTGGATTTTATTTTATAATAGAAGTTAACTTCTTTCTCAACCTTGTAGGAGAAAGGAGCTCTTACTTCGTATTCTATTCTCTCCATTTTAAAAAATATTAAAATGTATTTTATAAGGCAATCTTAATTTAAACATTTAGAGTGACTGGTGGTTAATTTTTTTTTTTTTTTAAAGATTTTATTTATTTATTTGACAGAGACAGACACAGCGAGAGAGGGAACACAAGCAGGGGGAGTGGGAGAGGGAGAAGCATGCTTCCCGCAGAGCAGGGAACCCGACGCGGGGCTCGATCCCAGGACCCTGGGATCATGACCTGAGCCGAAGGCAGACGCTTAACAACTGAGCCACCCAGGCGCCCCACTGGTGGTTAATTTTGTTTGTACTTTGGTAAGGGTGAAAGTACTGTGGCTTGAAGACTGGTGTTATAGACAAACCACTTCACTTATATATTGGGTAATAGTTAAATGAATACCTTTTGTAGTTGGTTGATTGTTTTAGGATTTTATGACCAATATCAATTAAAAATATTGTGTATAGTTGAACTTCTTGCCCTGATGAAGTCTGCTACTATATTATTAGTCACAGAAAATAAATAGTCTACCTTCTGTCTTCCTTTACCTTCCACATCCTAGTCTATTCATAATAAAATAAACCTCTGTAGAGTTTGAGATTCCAAAATCCTTTTGCAAACCAGAGTGCTATGGATGGATTAATATCCCAAGGCAGGGGGTAGGTACAGCTTCAGTTTTTATTCTGCAAAGTGTTTGTGAGCAAATTAAAAGTTTAAAAGTTTAATTTCTGTATTATACAGCTCACTCATGACCAGGAGGAGGGGGGTTCAGGAACTTTTGCCCTTTGAAAATGAGAGATTCTAGGGGAGAAAAAATAAAGTACTGAGGGGCTAATGTATGATGATGAAGTTGGAACTTGTGAGTGGCAATGTCTCTGGCTGGTGCCCAGGGTCTATTTTGAGGCCTTGTCAGAGATCGTCCGACAGAACCTACCACATAACTGTAATCTGTCCTGGCCCGGCTGCCAGTCAGGAAGGCCTGCGGTTCAGGAAAAGCGGCAACCGCAGAAGAGTGAGCTTATAAAGGACATGTGCCTCCAGAAGATTAAAGCTAAGTTTTGGGGTGAAAATCTGCTTAGCGTGCATATCCTAGGATCATTTTTTTTTCTTTTTGTCCTTTTTTGAGAAAAGAGCGTGATTAAGGAAAACTAATGAGAAAAGTATTTCAGAGGAATGTGCAGAAGGAGGAGCACAGGATTGTACCATGATGTTATGGTCTGGGTCTAAGAGTGATCAGTCAAATGTTTTACAACAGAAGAAAACCATTACTGATACTGGCATAGGGAGGCCATGGCCCTAGTTGAACTAGTCCACTTCAGAGACTTGCACACATATCTTTGGATCAAAAGGACACTGGGAATGACGGGCTGTTTTATAGGATTATTTTGAGTTCGTACAGAGAAATTAGCTTCTTCCCAAATTCTCGCGCTCTTC